GGGTTCATAACCAAGAAGACGAAGCCCCGAGCGAGAACGAAAAATTGCAGAAGAGTTTTATGAAGGACGATAGGCGTTTATATAACCTAATAATTAGGGCTTGGGAATCGTCCCAAAACCGCTTGGGAACCGTAATCATAGCACTCGAGTACTGAAGGTAGAAGGGCGGATTGGAAGCTGTGCTGAGCTGCAGGCTTGCGTCGAGCACGTGTTGCTTGCATTTCATGAGAACCAGCACTACAGTCCACCCAGAAAGATTCAAAATTTGAAACTGGTTAAACCGCTCAATTTACTCTCCTAAAATCCAGCCCTGCTGATATTAGAGAGTAGGGGGCTCGTGATGGTGCCATGAATTTTGACCATGGCCCAATTACGTAATCCAACCCTTAGCGGGTTTAGCCCAATTAACAGGATTAGCCCATAGACGGGATCAAGACCTAAACGGGATTCATATTGAGTGAGGTGTTAGGCCCAATTAGGAATCAGGCCCATGATAGGAACCCTTAGCCAGGTCGGGTTGGACAGTAGACCTCGAGTCTGGGCACAGTTCTAGTGAGGCTGGGATATTCCTAGGGTTTACGTGGCGGGCTATCATTTAAGCATAGCTATTTGGCAGCAGGCAGGACTCAACGGGAAACGTAGACTTAAAAGATGATCATTGCACAATGACCCAGATGCCACAGGAGTTCTATTCGAACTAGTATGTAATTAATAACATTAAATGTAGTAGTTTCCTCCTAGAATACTAACTCCTAAAGTCTATAAGTACTTCTTGTAAATGCCCTATGAGGGGATCGGTGAATTGTTCTTCCGAATAATAATAATAATAATAATACTGCCTTACGCTGCCATATTTTGATATATTTAGTAGATTTAGCTCTCGTAGTTGGATTAAATTCCACGAGTCCTTATTTGTTCTTATTTGTTATGGTATCTTCTTTTTAATTATAATATGATTTTATCTGTTTAGTTAATTTAATCTAATCTAATAGAATAGTAGAATCTCAACTACTTTATGTTAAGATTAGTTCTTGATAATCAAACAATCCATGTTGAAGGATCAAGTTAAACAGCATTTGGGTACTTTTTGGTATATTAATTATACTCCGTATAAAATAGGTAAAACAATTAAAAAGAAGATACCTCTACAATACTTTAAATCCATCTCATGAACCTCTATATTGAAAATGTATCATATAAATACATTCATTCCCATCTATAACAAGTCATTTTCAATTTTTCTATAAAATTGATAAATTTTGCGAAAACTCATAAAAAAACTCAAATATATAAACACAAAATGTAAACGCTTGCTAAAAAATAAAAATCAAGATCTATGAATAATAATAAAAACCTTAAAAGAAAAATAAATAAAATGAAAACATGAACTAGAAAGTGAAAAACATAAACTGTAGAAATTATAAAAATGAAAAAACTATAAATGATATTTAAAATATATTTTTTACAAAAAAAAGGGGCAGAAGTAGGATATCTTTTGAGGTGCTAATATAGAACGTTAGAAATTTGGAACTAACATAGAAAAACTACTCCAGAGAAATTAAACACAAATTCACACCTCAATATATATAGATAGTAAAATAACCCGGGGTGTAGCTCACCTGGTAAGAAAGGGGTGCCGCCAGTGGGGGACCCAGAAAGTTGGAGTCACGAGTTCCCTACCCTTTTATATCTCTAATCTCTAATTAATATAAAACTAATAAAAAAACATTAAAGAAGCATAGCACTTCAAAGTTAACGTACACCATCAAAACATTAAGATATTATAAAGAAAAAAATTACATATAAAAATCATTCAACAATTAACACATGAACTACTCCCGGTACTCTTAGTTTCATTAAATTTGGGTACGACATCAAAATATCGTTTCATCCTAAATTGTATAAAATTGAAAATAACATTTATAAATACATGAATTTATTAATTTAATCTAACATTAAAAAAAAGATATGCAAAGAAAAGCTGCAGAGAAAAAAAACTTGGGCGACAGAGCGAGTCCGCGAGTGGACATGCGACGTGGAGTGGTGGGCGCGGCTGGTGGTCACCTGGTCTTTGACGGCACCCCACGACGGCGACGCGGCGTGGAGTGGGGAGTGGAGGGCTTGATCGGGCTAAACTTGCAAGTGTACAAGTGCCGATATAGTAATAAATTCCGGTAAAATACCGGGTCGAATCCACAAGGAAAAGTTGTTTAATTCAAGTCCGAGAGTAGATAACGTTAAATGAAGAATTGAATAAAGTGCAGGGATTTTGATTTGTGTTTTATATTTTTGGTTTTTTCACTTTTTGTTCAACAAGATAATCGTTAACTAACTTTGAGTTCACGATAAATGATAACAACAACTAAGGATTCGGGAATCACTTAAATGCTTAAATAGGGTTGAATATTAGTTCTTTGCCAATAATTATGAATACGATGTCGCTAATATATTCTCAACTCCGGTTAAGGCAGCGAGAGCGTGGTTTTCGTTACGTGTAAGTCCCGTTACGGCTTACATTCATCTACCGAAAACCCCGTTGAATATCAAGACATCACACCCGTATCATATAAGACCGGATATATTTCTATTCTCGGTACTATATATGTTTATCCTTTAGTGTTCATAGTTTAGACTTCAACGTTAATTGCAAGTATAAACTAAATTTAACATACTTCTATGTTGTACACCATAGTCATAAACAATCAATATATAAAGGATAAATCACAATTTATTGGTTTAGAACTTTTATCAAACACCTAGTGGGCATAGAAGTTCATCCCTAGCCTTAGCTAAGAAATTAGCCTCTAATGCTCATATTAATCACAATACAATAATAAATGTAATGGAACATGAAATTACAAAGGAAACAATACCTGAACACCAATAATTTCGGAGGATGAACTTCCCTCCTCAAGAACTTGAAGAAAATATCAAGAACAAAAATATAAAAGCTAAGAATTAAGCTATGGAATGGAATGTGTTTGCATGATGAATTGAGGGCTTTATATAGGCTAAAGAATGACATCTTTTAGTCTATTCGAACCCAACAATCAGGTGTGGAGCAATATTTGATCAAGAAATGAGGAAGATGACCTTTTCCCATCAAAAATCCTCTTGCACGTTGGCCTGTTTTGTGCAGAAATCGCCCCAACCGGCCCCGGTTGTGTCCCGACCGGCGCCGGTTCAAAACAGGCTCTATTATGGTCGAAAAATAACACCTGACCGGCGCCGGTCATTAAAAAGTGTACTCCTTTCTCTTTCCCTTTTATGGATCAAAAAGTGTCGGTTTTTGTACCGGGATTTTGGGGATGTTACGCTACGAATTTGGACATCATTCCTTCACCAAAGTTGTAGATAATGAAGTCTTCTATCCAATAAAGCTTGAATGACGTGATTTTATTCATCCAATCAACAGATATGGATAAAACACTGAGAGGTATGCATCCTGAAATCCCACCAGCAACATCTGAATTTATCGGTTGATTGAGTCTTGTTCCTTTCATATCCTGGCCATGACGTCTTCATAACATTTGTACCTTATTGAGTTAACATTCACAATAAATTCGAATCGAGTGATTTCGAGTTCTATACAATAAGTTATATTCGAATTATGGGCAGAACGTCATCCTCTTGGTCCAAAAAGCTCTTCATCGCAATGGTTTATGCTATAACTCTCATTCTCAAGATATTTTCCCAATTTCTCTTCTTTTCTTCAACAAATGCTTATAAATACTTATGCTAAACACAAGTAAATATAACTGCTATCAGGGCTGTAGGCGGAACGTCGAACTCTCTTGCAGAGGCGTAGCCGCGTAGGTCTAAAGTTAGAATCGATCGAGTGCTCTGCCTCTGCGTTTAAGGATTGGCAGCAATTAAAAAAATAGGCCAAAACGACTTAGTTTTGGTCTATTTAATTAAAATAGTTTTGGATAACAAAAAAGGAACTCTCTATTTAATTAAAATAGTTTTGGAAAACAAAAAAGGAACCCAGGGGGATTCGAAAGTGGTACCTCCCGCAACATAGAAAGTTTCAATCCCACGCGTGCTCCCATTCCCCTGCTCCGTTCTTTTGGTTCTAAGGTCGTTTTTGTGTAAATATACATTGAATAATTAATTTTATAATATATATATATATATATATATATATATATATATATATATATATATATATATAATATAGGTATTTTTTTCGAGGTGCACGGGATCCAGCTGGGACCCCCGTGGGACCCTTAGTGGGTCCGCCTCTGGGTGCCGCAAGGAAGATATCTCGAGTTCGACTCTAAGCAAAGATTTGGAATGGAACCCGACTCTCTTTTCATTAGTGTGAGATAAAAAAATTAACTTACATCCTCCTTGATAACTATCTGATCAGTTCTAGGAGACTTCAGTCCTAAAGGACGGGGGGTCTTCATTCTTTATATATAGTGAAGGAATACAGTTTTGTAAGGAACATTTGCATATGGTGGCCGAAGAATTTCTAAATGTACGGGGCACTACAAAACAGAAAAGGAGAGTTAATAATCGGAGGCGACATGCTTTTTATAATTAGAAGGGCAAAAAACGAAAACGTCAATCCTAGGGAAGGTGAGTGTAGTCCAATGTATGATCATACACCTCCAAGTTTCTCGTTTGTAAGAAATCTTGACTTCAATTCCTATGTAGGGGAGATGAGAGAGGTCTTGCTCCCTATCATTCTTCCTACCGAATAGCTCAGCGACGGAGAAGGAAAAACATGATAACGAAGGCAACGTGTTCGTGTGGTGGAAGAAGTGATCTTGAAGCGGCATGTGATGTAACTCTTGCTAGATTCATCCTTTGACAGTACCCATATGTCTGACGGTAATCGATCCGGATTATGGGAATATAAGCCCACCTGAAGCAAACATTAATTTTGACTATTTAAATAGTCAAACAAGCCAAAAGTTGACCGTTCAAAAATAAATAAACCGCTTGCCAAACAAGCCTGTGTCTGGATAAAAAATGTTTGTCATCATTACCTGAAGCTATTAGTTAATGTTCTAGGAGAAATCTCAGGGGTAAAAGTGTGTCATTGTAAGTTTACCGTTGGATACTTAGATCTGCAACTCCAGACGGACATGGCAGGCGAGCCGACTAGGATCATGATCGGACTGAACGAGTCGACGATTAAGGGCTACCCACATCCTTCCATCAGCAGCAAGGGAGCCTTCGAATGGACTCTCAACAAAATTGTCCGTTCTAACACCTCTTATTTCAAGCTTCTCCTTCTCCATGTCCAAGTTCCTGATGAAGATGGTTCTCTCTCTGTCTCTATCTGATATGTGTGTATCTCTAGGTTTTAACTCCCGATATCAGTGCTACTCACCTTGGATTTGCAGTGTCCGATTGCATTTGAAAATTTTAAACGGGATTAGATTGTTCTTAAACTGTTCGCATTAGGTTCAAGTTTGAGAATGTTTGAGTGTTACCGCGATGGTCTGGATATTTTACATTTGAACCTGCGTTCTGAAGTCTGAACTGTTCGCGTCTTTAAATTAGATTTTGGGATAGCCGTTTGACCTACGTGAGCATGCTTAATACCTCTTGTGGTTTTGAACTTGCAATCCCTTTGGGTCTGTTTATTAGATTCGGTTGGTAATTGTGGTCTTTTCTGTATACTGTACTTGGTTCAGATAACAATGTGCATCGATTGTGTGATCACTCCTCGCATTTGATCAATCTGAAGCATATTTGATGGATTTGGAAGTGAAAACATTTGAACTTGCTGGCTTAAGTTTTTTTCTGCTTGAATTTAAATGGGAAATAGCAACTTTCGGAAGACAAACTCTTCTAGTTTCCTTAAAATCTTAAATGCTTGGTTAAAGTGGCTTGTGGTTGGCAGGCAGTGAGAGTTGTGGAATATGTTCAAACATTTTGTTGTTATTAACTGTTGTAACTTGTCAAAGCCTTAATAAGTGTTGTCACTTGTCAGTCTATGAAATCTCTTACGATAATTTAATCAACAGGTTTTAATGATATGGATAGCCTCTTCGCGTCACCTCAGGATTTCAAGAACATGAGGCACCGGGACAAAATAAGAGGACTCCATCTGCTGGAATACTTTGTGAACCGATGTCATGAGCTTGAGGTATGAAGATACACTGTTTTTTATTAATTCCAGTGACATCACACATTCGCTGTTCCCAGTGACGTATCCAGAATTTTAGGTGAGAGGGGGCGACTTTAATAAATGTTTATGGATTAATATAATTTTCCTTTTTAGAGACAAATTTTAATGAGGCAATATTTAGTTTATTAAAATTATGTAAGTAAAAAATGAATTAGATAAAGGCGTGTGAATTATGTAATTACAATTAACTTAAGTTGCAAATGTATAAGTATGTATCAAAAGGAGAACAATTTTTATTACGTGTTTGCAAGAATTTAATTAAAAATATATTATAAATTACTCCCTCCGTCCCATTAAATAGTTCCCACTAGGATTTGGATCGAAGTTTAAGAAAGTGGGAATAAAGTGGAAATATATGGTTGTGGTTGAGTAAGAAAAAGGTAAATGAATGGTAGCCATACAAAACTTTCTAAAAAGGGAAATGAGAACTATTTTTTGGGATGGCCCAAAAAGGAAACTGGGAACTATTTTGAGGGACGGAGGGAGTATTTACTAAATTGAAATTATTGAAGTTCTTTTTAATCAGGTTTAAAGCTTTAAAGAGGCTAACGAAAACATAAAACTCCAAAGATATTGGGAATGATTCAATCCCCCGTCAATTTGGAAAAAGCATGACCCAAGTTCCATTACAATATTAGAAGTTGTAGCAACACTAACTTAATTAACATGTTAATACAAACTGTAAACGCACTTATACATATTATACGTAATTTTTTATTATATATAAAGGGGTTTGATGGGGGTTGGGGGGGATTGCCCACCTTGACCCCCGCTGTATATACCCCTGGCTCTACCATGCTTATAATGTGGAACCATCTTGTTATGTTTAGTAATAAATTCAACTTATATTACTAGTGCAACGGTCCCTCTGTCATTTTGGTTAAAATATTTACATTTTCAAGGTATCTTGTGAAGCATGGATCAAGAAAGGAGATCCCACAGAAGTCATTTGCCATGAGGTTCAACGTGTGCAGCCAGATCTTCTTGTAGTTGGTAGCCGTGGTCTTGGGCCCTTTCAAAGGTATTGACTGGTTTTTTGGAATACACTTCAAAGATCTTTTTTATACATTTTCAAACCATGCACATTGTCAATTGCCTGTACTTTCATTAATTTGGTTAAAAGGCTCTAGCAATACTGAGCTCTCTCTTCAAAGATGTTTACCCCTTTATTTAACCAAGCATCATATTTCACCAAAAAATGAACTTTATTTTCTATTCTTTTTTTGCAGGGTGTTTGTAGGAACTGTTAGTGAATTTTGTGTTAAGCATGCTCAATGTCCTGTTGTAACAATCAAGCGCAGTGCAGCTGAGACCCCTCAGGACCCTGTTGATGACTAAAATGTTTGTGGTACTATTATCTGCATAGAGACTGCATCTGTATATAGATCTATGACTTTCTTAGAGTTCTGTTTGATTGCGCAAGAACAAGTAAGAGGCATATGTTTCTGTGGCACATTGGGCATTAATTGGATTTGAATCTAGTGTGTGTGCCGCTGTGCCCTTCATTTTTTTATATGTATTGCTTTCCCAGTCAAAATAAGTTTAGTACTCAAGTTCCAATTTGTTCTTCCTTGCTGTTGTACTGTTTTTTGTGCAATGAAGGGACTGCTTCTTTGGACTGAAACTTTCAGGCCTAGATTAAGTTAAATCTTATTCGAACTGATCTGGAATGTTTAAACTTGTTCTGGTATGGTAAGATCTAGCATTATATGTATTATTTTATCATTATTATTATTTAAGTCTGGTCTATTCTTTTTAAGTTTGCTTTTGTCTAGTCGAATTGAAAAGTTCCAAAATTGTGTGGTTGAGGTTAAATAGGGCTCCTAAAAGGGTAGTCCGAGGCACATTGGTGTCCCTACAAGGTGAGGGTCCGGGGAAGTGTCTCACCACAAGGGTGTATAAGGAGCAAATTTTGTATTGTCATTTTGATAAAAGTTGCTCCTAAGACTTGACCCGTGACTCCGTGATCTCTTGGTCACATAACAGTACTTTAAATGATGGTCAAAGCACTCCTGCCTAGGGCTCCCTAGTGAAGTTATATGAGGTTATGTGCTCCATTAGACCATTACCATCTACTACTATAACGGAAATTGGTGATTGCGATAAAGCACATGACCTCACGTAACTGAAGTCGCATTTGACTCAAAAGTTTCAGAATGACCATTCACCCTTTGCACAGAAATTTCTCCATGAACTTTTTCAGAATGACCTCACTCATAGACAAGGACAACAACTGTTGGCTTTCCTTTAAACAAATCATCGTGTCCATCATTTGGTTAAAAGAAGGCAATGCTCAAAAGCTAGGATAAGAAGAAAATATTGCCCTGAAAACACCCTTATTGTCAATTTGCAGAGTTGCAGACATAGTAATAAAAAAAAGGAGAATATACTTCATATTTTCATTCATATCAAATTACCTCAAACTGCTCAACTTAACCAAAGTGTTTGCAACGCTGTAACTTCTACTTGTATGATCTCCCATTCCTTGTTAAAAGGCTGTTTCTGTTCTTTTGTCTGCTGAAGGTTGAGATCCTGATACGTTATATTCTTCTGCTAGCTGGTAAGAGGTAGTTCACCATTATATTACAAGCGACATGAAGGAAGAAAGGTTCAAAAGAAGCGCACTTGGGAGGGTCAAGGCAAAGATCACCTTGTAAGGAATGAAAATTAGTTGCAATTGTCCCATTTGTCCATCTACAATATGTGAGGACAACCCCAAGTCCCAACTCGTAGTCTCATGCTCATTCATGGCAGAACATATTCAGAGATATACAATAACAGATCTAGAAAAAGGCCATATTTATATATGATGACACTGAAGTCATTGTGAAGAAAATACTGATGTATACAGTTCAGATTTGCAGAAATTCTTGAAAATAATGAATAGTAGAGTCATACTGTGAAGAAAGGTTTTATAAACTTAAACTTTAGTGACAATTCCGAAGAAAAAATAATTACATTTAGAAGACATTCTGATCCGCCAAGGTCAAAAGCAAAGTATTAAATGAAATCTGATTTGACAAAAGTAATGCCAAAACTACGATACAAACTCAGTATACAATCTAGTTATAAATAGAAAATATTCAATTAATCCCGTTTATATACTTCTATTCATAATACAAAGGCACAAGTAGAAAATGCTAAAACAAGGAACCGGGTATCATTATCATCCGCGAGCCTAGCATATGGTGCTTTTCCTTGTGAACTCGATCCCCCAACATGAAAATAGAATTGGTCTATCACATGATGAACCCTTTGGGCTGGGTTCAAACAATGGAAAGACACAACCAAAAGTTTGTGTTTGGATATGAAATTCAATATGTGATAATCAGGTAGCATCTCCTGCATTGCTTTTAAATCTTTGGCCCGCGGAGACCAGCATATCAGAAAATACTCCCACCATTTGGGCATCCTAAACTTAGTCTTGAGGATGAGGAGAACGCCCTCGCGTGGACACTTCTACTTGGTCGTCCACCGGGTGATAAGCAGGGCGGACCCCTTGCCAAAAGCATAGGATCAAACACTTGTGCAATCACACGCTACTAAAAGCATGAAATATTTTTATAATCCATGTGACTATTCAATAGAAGTGCATCACGTGAAGGAAAGTGTCCTACAAAGTAAAATGTTGAAGCACTCTCTCATTCTCATTCTGGTTAGCATCCATACTGAGGCCAATACATTGACACACACCAACATCAGTGAGGATTTGTACATAATATATTAGCTTATAAAGATTATTATCATTTGTAATAAGTAGCTGGCTAGTTGGTCATTTGACCCTTCTAGTATCCCATTGCTCCTTCATAAGCTCTAAGACATGCGCCACTTTCCACTGCGTTGTTGAATGCACATGTATTTTCCTGGTCTCAACCATTTTGTGCACTTGATTATCATATTTTTCTAACTTAAAACTGATTTTGTTCAGAGTTGTTAGTACACGTTTTATACAATTTTTGTGTACTTAACTTGAGTAACAGTCATGTCTTATATTAACGAACATAAGTTCTTTTAGTTTTAACCACAGATATTCTAGATTATTATCTTTATAAAATGATGTTCATTGTGTGTTTATATTCAAATGTAACAAATGTAGCCACTCTCAATGACACTTTCTCGAGAAGCAAAGAGGTTGGAACAAAGAGAAACAACTATGACTTATAATCTTCATAGTGATCTTCTTTACTACCTCTGTCCCATATTGGATGTCTTATTTTAGTTTGACACAATTATTGAATGGATGGAAGAATGAAATATAATGAAGGGAGAGGAATAAGATGGGAATGGTGAAGATGAGAGAGGTGTTGAATATGGAAGATGGTGAAGATGAAAGAGGATTAAGATATTTGACGAAAGAAAGAATGAATAAAAGAAAGAACGGACATAACCGTATGAGAGAGTGATAGAGGAATGGACTAAGGGAGGGTAAAATGGTATATTCTAGACCTTTAAATAGTGTGAAAAATGTGTGGACAAGAGTGTACACCTAGCATTTTGAACAAAATTTACTAGACAATTCCAAAAAATAATACTACATCTACTTATGTTTGGTTGGTGTGGCTTGCATATCACTAAAGCTGGGTTAGACCAGCACCTAGTATCGATCTGGTCTTCAATAAAATAATGTGTGTCCAATCAAATTTATTACCTACCCGGTCCCAGAATCTAGACCTAGGTCAACCCATACTTCGTCATTCTCATTTAAATACTAAAAATGCGGTTAGAGTTTTTCTCTCCCTTATACAAATATCAACCCCACAAGTTTTACTTTGTTATTTCATGTGCAAGTGAAACTTGGCCAAATTTTGCATGATGGAGGGAATATTAAAATGATATTCCCTCCGTCTCATAATGTTGGTCATGTTGGTCCAAATGTTAGAAGAGGGATACTTGACAGTCTGAGCCAAGTAATGACACTCATCATGCAATTTAGCTTATATCATCAGCTATTGGGACAAATTCCAAGGCCATGTTGGTCACTGTATCATCTCAAAAAAGATCTTTTGATTTTTTAAAAGCTCTTAAAATTGTCATGCCAAACATTCAACTAGAAGATTTTAGAGACTTTTCAAATAGTACAAATGATAGAACGTAGAGACTTGTGCCAAACACGCTCTATTGCGATTTTAGGGCGGAGTATAAACTAGGAAAAATAGACGAATAATATACTTCTCTATTTTTCATTCAAATCAGATCTATATCGTGTTGAATTGATGTATAGCTATAAAACCTACTATCTTATTTACTTCGGTTTGAAGCTCTGCCCTTTCTAACAAAAGTGCAACTCCTACCTGTACTCTATCACCCCGTCTAGTTGAAACCAGATGGGATCAAATTGTTGAAGTTGCTTGGAAAGATATCTCGTTGAAAGCGTTTATTTTGTAGTTCAATGTTAGACTACAAGAGCAAAAAGCTCACACTCACAGAGTCAAAGGAGCAAGGAAGAAGATGCAATAGAAGCCCAAATGATTCATGCAAAATAAATCTTCAGGAACTACACCTACTAAGCAGCACCAAAGTGCTTCTGTGAAACTAGTTACAATTGTCAATCAGGAAGTTCATTTAGGCAACCACATCTTATACCAATCTACCATCCTACACAAATAAACCACCTTCTGAACTTCCAGACAAGAACCTAGGAACAAGTCATTAAATCTCTATCCCTCACAAAAAAAGTCGTTCAAATATCCATCCTGCACCAAAAAGGTTAACAATAACGTCTAAAGTACTACTCCGTATATGATATATGAATATCATACCCATCATTTTTCATGGGGCTGCAACCAATGCACTCACCTTCTTCAGCAGAATCTTGACCTCATCCTCCAAGAAAAGTTTCTCCTCTTCTAAAATTTTCCCATCACACTTTTTTAGCAAAAACTTCAGTATTTTCAGGTTCTGTTTGATTGAACCAAATGACACAGTCTCCTCATATTCAGACTTGGCCTTGGAATACTCTTTCAAGGAGGATGATGAGTTTCTCTTGCTCCCAGCATGCCTACTTTTATGCACATTCTCACTTGATTCATTGACATAAAAAGACTTCCTGAAAGAACCCGCAAATTCCCTAATCATATCTAGGGTGCCAGGCTTTCTCGAACAGTGAGGGTTAATGGCAGCGGATTGAACTTCTGATAAGGCTGCACTTGTAGGTGTACTCATATACAGAGCAGGAAGCAGCATCAGCTGATTTTCTTTACCAGATTCAGATTCCAAGTCAAATCCTTGTTTTGCAGGCGAGTTTCCACTCATCATGCTAATGCTTGTATATGGAGGTGACAGATACTTGCTTTTCTTCCTTTCCCTTGAAATAAGGCCTTCTTTGGCTGTATCCACACTGTCCTGAGCACCACTTCCTCTCCATTTAATGGACAAAGATTTCCTTTTCTTCATGGCTTTAGGTAAATAATTATGCAAGTCTATTCCCTTGTGACTTTCATTTTGAGAATCTGACCCACTGTTCACATGCAAAAGTTGAGATAAACTTGCCAGTTTCCTATGGTGATGAGGCTTGCCATCAGCACTCACTGGGCACTTATAAGGGCCATCATTTCTGGAGGAAACAACTTCTTCTCCTTCTATGAGGCCCTGTATAGGTGGCATGTCACTATCATATAACTCCACATCCTGATTTCTAGACTTATCCTCCAGGCCTTCAATATTACTCGGCTTGCAATAAAAGGATAATCCATAGCCCCGATTTGCACGACAGAAAGCAGACAGCCAGCTAGTAAATGTGACAAGCTCAATCCTATCAGGAACACAAGTGGTCTGTGCAAGGTTATTCAAATTGAAACGTACCAAACAAGGCTCAAAATAGGGCAGTGAAAGATTAAGCTTAGTATCTCCTTTTGGTGGTATGAGAACTCCGGGCTTAATTCCAGCATTCACTGCCATGGGCCTATTAAGTGGTACACATTGGCAGTTCATTTCTAACTCCAGCAAGATACGCATTTCATCAAGAGCTTTGTCCACGGCATTAATGAAAGTTTCCACATTGCTTTGCTTTGACATTTCCTCAAAGTTCTCGTGAAATGGCTTCAACTGTGATGGGAGACACCAAGAGAAAGAGCCATCCCCAAAGTAAACCACGAGAAGCCTGCCTGTCTGCTTGTACCTCACTGCAAATTCAGAAGCATCTGATGGGTTATAAATCCGGCCCGGCCACCACGGACGACACTTCACTTTTCCCCAAATGAAGTCACCTACACCATAAGAATGCTCAAAAACAGTTGTGTTGTCACTATCCTCTTTACTGACAACCTCATTGTCAGCTTCCTTTTCTGCTCCTTCTCCTTCATAGTTTCTGGACTCATTTTGGGCAATCTCTATAGCATTTCCTTTCTTAGAGGTCTCCACAATGTCACTACGCTTTTCTCCAAGCTCCACTGCTGAATCCCTTGAACCTTTAGAAATCTCATCACAGAGGAACTTATTTTCTTCCGCAGTAACATCCTGTCTATCAGCAAGGACAGAGTCCCCATCATGAACACCACTGCCCAAATTTCCAACGTCATCCAGCTTGGGAACCAAACCCGGAGTTTTCGGATTGCTTAATTCCGTAAAAGCGACCATTAGGGTTTCGGCTGTCTCTGATTCTTGCGGCGTTGCCATTTTTAGTAAAAATTATCTCAACGATGGTCTATCAAGTTCCGCGGATGATGGGGGGGAATCTGAACACAATATGTAAAAGTTCAGACTCAGAAAAGCAAGAAGAACAAAACCCTAGAAAAAAAATCTAATACTATATACGCAGAAAAAACAGGAATTTCGTTTCATTACAGATACATTCAGAAATCAGAAATCCAAACACACACGAAGAAGACATAAACATCGAGTTTAAGTAACAAAAAGACGAACATGTGAAGAATGATGCTTTACCTGAACAGAAAAGTCGAGCCTTTTGGGATCTTTCTTTGGACAGTTCGAGAGATGGCTTTTCGAGCTTTTAGGCTTCGTTTGAGCTTCCCATAAGCGGCAAAATGATTCAAGAGTTTGAAAGAGAATACGACAGTGATTGGAATATCTCTGCTGTTCATTTAATCGCTCATTGGCGAGATAGCGTTAAAGCATCACATCATTAATTTTTGAATTTGCACACTGTTTTGAAAAACTATAATTTTTGCACCCCTCCGTTACAAATCCGTTAAACAGAGTTGGGTTTGCTTCATGCACCCCCCAATTGCTTAAGGTATTTATGGGTGGACAAATTTGGTTTTCTTAATTATTAATTAAAATTAAGTATAATTAAAACATTAATCAAAATTGCTTTGCGCACCTCCATAGCTTCATGTCCGGCTCCTCCATATCAATTTTACATTAAGTATGCATCCAATAAAATGCAGTCATGGGACAAGTAATTATTTTTTTATAAAATGTCATAACTTTTTCATTTTTGCTCCAATTTTTATAAAAATTATACCAAATTAAATATTTTTTATGATTTTTCATATTACATCAATATTATATATGTAATTTAAAAAACAATCTGATCAAGTCTCGTGAACGGTCGAAAAATGTTTATTTACGAGATCGATGTGCAGGGCCTTATTAGAGGCGCGGGGAGCACGAGCGAACAGAGTTAGCATAGCTTCGAAAATACTATAATACCCTTACTAAATAATAGTTCATTTCAGTCATCGTTCTCATCATTTTAAAAGTACGTAAAAGCCTAAGGGTCTGTTTACTAACAGAGATATTTTCCTGTTTTCTACTTCTGTTTTTCGTTCTCCAATTTTCTGTTTTTATTTTTCAGTTTTTCTATCTCCGCTTTTCTGTTTCTATTTTCTAGTTTTCCATTTTCAAATCTGAAAACATGTTCATCAATTTTTTCACTCAGTTCTGTGATCATCCAGAAGACTGACACGTTTACTTCACGGGTTACTAAATGACGCTTATTAAGACTCGCGTTAATAAGCGACGCATAAAATAAGCAATGTTATAAGATCATGTTTACTTCAAAAGATTTAAAACACTCTTTAACATTAAAATGTCCAAAATAATCTTGTACATATATAGATACACAAACATTCATGAACACAAATATATAATATAACATGTGGGGTCGATCACCTCGTATGTGTACCCATACTCCTAACCCCTACCTTGCCCCTATACCTCGTACCCCCACCCTAAACCCAATTTCACACCCTTGACCCCTACCCCTACCCTTACCACGTTCTTACACTCTGCCCATACTCCCTTAAAACCCTTCATACCCACCCATACCTACTCGTAGGGGTCGGGGTAGGCAAGGAAGGTATGGGGTGGGGGTGGGTAAGGGGTATGGTTGGGGTGGGGTGGTAAGGTCTAGGGGTACGAGGTTGGGTGGGGTAGTGGGTGGGTTAGGTGGTGGTTGGGGATAAGGGTCGGGGTAGTGAGTAGGGTTGGGGTTGCGGTAAGGTAGGGGTAGGGTAGGGAGTTGGGATAGGATGACGGTATGGTGGGACCAGGATCAGGGTGGGGGCGAGGTAGGGGAAGGGGTACGGTGGGGGTAGGATGGTGGTGGGCTAGAATGGAAGTAAGGTAGGGCTAGGATGGCGGTACGAGGGTGGGGTAGGATGGCGGAAGGGTGAGGCCGAGGTAGAGGGCATGTGGGAAGGGGTAAGGCAGGGGTAAGGGGCAACATACGAGGTGGGGTAGGGTAGGATGGGTCGGGGTGGGGTTGAGGTGGTAGGGGGTGGCGGTAGGGTAGGGTGGATCGGGGTGGGACCGAGGGGGGCATGTGGTAGGGGTGGGGTTAGGGTCATTGTAGGGAAAAGGGGTGTGCAGGGTGGGGGTTGGGTGGGCAGGATAGGGTAGGGGTAAGGGGTAAGGTACAAGGATGGACGTACTAGAATGGAATCGACATCGGAGCGGGACTGGACCCATCATTAGGTGTAAGTATGCAAATTCATTGCAGCGGCCTCTAACATCTGCATTTTTCGAATTTGGAAAACTAGTAAAAGTCACTTCTCGAAATCATTAAGGAAAAGAAAGACATGTCTCATTTTTTTCGTTTCGGAAAACGGTTTGGTAAACACGTTTTTCTGTTTTCCTTTCTCCGATTTTCCATCAATTTTCTTTGTTAAACAAGTTTCCTTTCTCCTACTTCTTCCTCTTAGAAGAACACGAAGAGATATTTCTGGATTCTACCTGCACTTGCACCAACACCAACAGAGAGAATCGAGAGAATATCTACGAAATTGCCTGTGAGGCGAAAGATTCACTCTTTACCAGATGCTAGTAAACAATCGATATTTCATTATTCTCTTTTATGTGAGAAGAGTCATTATTGAGCATAATAAACTCGCAAGTTTGAAAACAATCAACCAAGTTAATATTTTAATTTTGCAGTACAGATCGTAATAAATAAAGGAAGTGAAGTAATTAGTTAATTTCTGAACAAGTTTGTTGCTATACCTGAAAATCTGGATTTTATGATTTTCAATCACGGTAGGAAAGCATTTCCTCAGGAAGTAGTTGATTTCACGTTGAAGTGATGCTTCTAGGAAAACAGAGGTTGTTTTGTTCACTCGGGGATCCTTAAAACAGTTTATTCGGTGATATCATGAAACTACCACAACATGAATATATTTTAGTTATACTTCTAAAGTATTATTAAATTCGCCTCTAAGCTTGAACCTTGTAGAATTGGAAACATGTTTTCTCTACACAAGTACATTGGTTTGTAGCTTATACTCTTTTCTCTAGTGTTGGATGTACTGTTTTTCTTTGAAAAAACAGTTAATTTCTGAAATTTGGCTATGAAATCTGCCTTACTATATGGAATAATTTATTAAGAATTGATTTGGATATGTAATTTCAGTTGGGCTACCATCACAAGAAAATAACATTGATGAACCACTTCCTAATGATGAATTTGGTGATATGTATAATGGACCACTTACTAATATATCAACTCTATCAACAATTCGTGGTGAACTAAATGACTATAATATGTCTATTCAAAACAACTCTATTTAAACACCTATATTTTTACTCTTATTTCTTTTATAGGTACCCAATTCGAGGAAATTCTTGATGGACTAGATGGTTATAATAATACAAATGACTCGGATGATGAAGCTGATGATGTAAGCTATGTTGGAGATGACCCGTCAAATGATGAGTTTGAGGGGGGAGTAGAAGGAGGTGTACCAACAAACGTGGAGGAAATAGGTACTGTCTTGAGTGGTTTTACACACAAATCATTTCAATGTAGTGACGAATGTTTTGCTACCCCTGAATCTGAAAAATGAGAGGACCAATTACTATTGGCAGCACGAAAACAATGGGTCACAATGGATGCCTGTAGGAGGTACATTAGGATGTATGCCATTAAGAACAAGTTTGAGATTTTGTTTCAAAAAAATTGTGGAGATAAGATCATAGTAAGGTGTAGAGGAGTAGGATGCGTTTGGAGATGTTATGTTAAAATAAAGAATGATGGCACACAGTTGAAGTTAAGACTCTTCAAGGAGAACATACTTGTGAGAATGATGGTAATAACATCAATAGAGGGACAACTGCTAGATGGATAGCTGATATGATCGATCGCTGAAGACATGAAGTTGCATCACAAGAGTTACACACCTCGAGATATAATTGCAATAGCTTGGAGTAGGTGGACTATAAACATAAATTATTGGAAAGCATGGCATGCTAGGCTACTAGCATTAGAACATGTACATGGGAATTATGAAAAAAGTTATGCTCAGGTACCCGAATTGTGTAGACAGATTGAAGCTTCCAATCCCGACAGTTTGGTTGCATGGAAATTTGATACTGAAAACAGATGCAAATACTTATGTGTTGCTTTTAGGGCTAGCTTAGATGGTTGGAAAAAGGGGTGTAGACCACTAATAGGCTTGGATGGATGTTTTCTAAAGGGTAAATATATAGGAGTTTGCCTAGCAGCTATTAGAATGGATGGGAATAATGGCATGTTTCCTCTGGCAGTTTTCATTTGCAGAAAAGATGATGGTGAAAATTGGGACAAGTTTCTGGAACTAATAGCGCCTAAGCTCAAGAAACATTCTTTGCCGCTGACAGTGATATCAGATAGAGCCCAAGCCATTATTAGTAGTATTGAGACACATTTGGAAGGGTGCAATCCAAGAAGTTGCTTCAGGCATATCTTCAAAAACATAAGCAAGTGGTGGAAACGTGATCATATCAAACGATTGGCATGGGCTACTGCCACGGCATACAAAAAAATCCATTTTGAAAGAAATCTTGTCAATTTGGAGAATGCAGCAGTTGGGAGTAAGGATTACTTGATGGGGATAGGTCCACATTTGTGGTCAAGGGCTCACTTTGATACAATATATAAAAGTGATCACCTAACCAATAACTTCACAGAAAGCTATAACAGTTTTATATTGAGTGAAAGGGAGAAACCTGTGTGCTCTATGATAATAGGCATGTCATTTCTGATGATGAAAATTATGTATGATAGGAAATTAGAAAGTAGCACTTGGGATGAAAGTGGTGTGGTACCTAGGGTTTTTAAGACCCTAACACTTTATAAGGTAAAGCAAAATGACTTTGTCACTCACCCTTCGGGTGAAGGGACATTCTGTGTAAGGAATTATACCGGGCAACATTGGACTCTTAATTTAAACAACCATGAATGTGAGTGTTGTGAATGGCAAGTGAAAGGACTACCATGTGTGCATGCCGTGCACTTGATCAGCCACCTCAGACTGCCGTTGACTCAGTATGTTTGTTTTTGAAACTTTATGCATTATTTGTTTTACAATTGTTTCTATTTTACTAATTCTTATTCTTATTATTGATGCATACATGTTTTGCAGCCTATTTCTAAGTGTTAAGGCTTACAGATCATCTTATGAATCAAATATCAAACCAATTTCACATGAAAGTGATTGGCCTGAGGTACTGTTAGTGATCGTACTATTGCATTTTAATAAAATATACCATGCATCTATTACATGTAGCTCTTTGGCCTTCAAAAATAACACTGAAGTATGGTACAATCTTGACTTCCCCTCTTGCGCCTTAAAATGTCAATAGTTGTGCATGTTGTGTAGTATTAATCATTACATACTCCCAGTGGCCCCGATTACATAAGATGTTCATTTTTCGTTTATAGTCACAGTCTTTGCGACCATTTGGTTCCCTTCTGGCAAAGGCTGGATATGTTTCAACTGTCCCGATTGAGTTGAGTCCTTTATTATGTGTAGGGAAATGAAATTGTATTGCCACCTACACTTTCAAGGGCACCTAGAACACCGAAACACAACAGAATAAAGGGTCATGATGAGAATGAAACTCAGGCCAGGAATATGAAAAAGTGTAGTAAATGTCTAGCTTTTGGGCGCAATAAGAGGTCATGTCAAGGAGGCCCAATTAAAGGAGGCGCGGATACTAGTAGTGGTGCTACGGGTTCTACAAGGGCTTCTAAAAGAGGAGGAGGAAGGGCTACTGGAAAAGGTGTTGGAAGAGTTATTGGAAGAGGTGTTGGAAGGGGTGCTTCAGGAAGGGGTGTTGGAAGGGCTGGTGCAGGAAGGGGTGTTGGAAGGGCTGCTGGAAGATGAAGTGTTTCTTTATAGGTGCATTAAGTGGTGCTTTTGACCTACTATAACTGCAGTTTTTTTGTTTTCACACTACAATGACTATGGTACATGCAGTTTATTAAACACAACTGCAATATTTTTGCTCACTGTAAAGATGCATGGTTTTTGCTGCAAGTAGGATTTTTGCTCATTGTAAAATCCCAACTTGGAGCTCAGTATATATTGCTAGAATTAGACAAAGCTCTGTATTTTTGCTAGAATTAGAGAAAACAACTAGAAGGTTGTAGTTGCAGCGTTTTTGCTCAGTCTACAATTATATATAACACTTCTCTCAAGTAGATTATTGTTATATTGATAGTTTTTGCTGCGGGTAGTATTGTTGCTCACTAGATAAAGAAGATATTGTTAGCAAAAAATAAATTAATTTTGCAGGCAACATACCTTGGACATGACTATTTCTCCATTTGCATCCATGCTTTTTCCATATCTACTACTATTCTCTACACTTAACCAGCATTTATAGTAGCATAGGTGAATGAGTCGTTACAAGTTGCTAGAGCTCCTTTACGGTTTGTATCTAAGTTGGAAGAGTAGGGCATTGTGAAGACTCACTAAAATTATTGAATACCATTTATTGAGTTATAATTTATCAGTTCATTTTTGTAGGTTTTTGTATTGTCAGCTTCTTGCCTTTAAAACACTTTTTGGTACCTTTAGCTTTTGTTTTAGAGATATAAATCAGGTGCAGGTACTTTGCTGGTCCAGATTCACTTTTGTATTTATTGGTGCAGTTCATTGTTAGGCTTTTTTATTATTATTTCTAAGCTATTTACCAGTGCAGCAGTAACTTATGCATTTTCTCTAATGGATTTGGCTGGGGTAGTTGTTATAGGCTGTATTCCTAGGCAAATTGAAAGCTGCTCACTTTGGAGCTACAAAATCCTGCCTCCTCAAATGAGCAGTATCGAGAGAGGTTGCTTTGAATCTGGGAATCAACAAACTCATTGGTCTCATATATTTTGAACTAGCAGGGCATTGTTGTCTTTCTAAAATGTATTTAACTCTAACTAACAGACTGTTTGGTTCTAGGGTGCAAAAACTAAAGTTTTTCAAAACAGGGTGGAAACTCAAATTTGTTCAATAAAGTGGGGTGCAAACTCCAATTCCCCCAAAGCCGCACGGTTAAAAGAAGATAACTCGTTGTTTTTAACTTTTTACTCAGTGTTTGACAAAAGGTGGATTCTATGGTACCCATAAGGTACTTTACCTTTGTCCACATGGACCAATAAGGATGTCGGAGTTGAATTATTTAAATCTAAATTAAAATGATATAATGATGTAGACCAATCAAGTGAATGATAGGTACGGTACCTCATTTTTTAAATGGGTACCGGAGTTGTCATCCAAACAAATTTGGAGTTTGAATAAAAAAAAGGCAAAATTGCTATTACGTGTGATTTAAAAATTCAATGCATTAACCAGTATGTCTTACTCTCTCCATTCCGAATTGAATTGCAAACTTTGACTGGAACTAGGATTAAGGGGTGATAATAAATTATACTTGTTTTTTACACTTTTTTCTATCTTTCTAAAAGTAGATGTCTTTAAATTAATGAGAAAAAAGTAAAAGTAAGAGTAAATTTGTACTTTATTCTTATTTCCATATAGAGTAGAAAGTGGAAAACCATTTTGGTAACACCAAAACAGGAAATTTTGCAAATCAAATTGGGACAGAGGGAGTATAATTTAATAAATTTATCATGTACCACATTCCTTCTATGAACGAATTTAACTGTCAAATAAAAGAAAAATTATTAGTATTTTTGTATAATTTAGAGATTTTGATAAATTTATTTGCGGAATCAATCATAATAATAAGAAAAGTCATTACTGAATTGTTAAATTTATTCACAAAAGAGGTTATGCGTGTGATATGATAAATTATAACACAAGTTGGTTTAACGCGTTTTTTAAATCACAGCGAGATAATGCGTCGAATCTGTGTATCACAAGAGAGTTTAGTACATTAAATCCATTACTAATGTAACCTTGCATTTTTTAAAATTGTCTAGTTATCTCCTGAGTTTTGATCATTCTTTTCCCCCTCATATTAATATTTGTTAAATAAAATTGAATATCTCTCAAATCCAATGAAAATTTTATAAAATTAACTTTAAAAATGAAGCACAATTTACTATCATAATTATATGTCATTGTTGTTGATCATTATTTTTCTATTTAGCTATTCGTGAAACAAATTCTAATGAGAGTACTTAGTGGAGAAAACTCATGACTAATATTAATGAGATACATCAAATAAAGTTATTTAAAATACTCCATACACGTTATCAAAATTCTAGGGATTTCTTCATCATGAACATAAAAGTCTTATTTGTAATTCATTTGGCTGGATTAATCTCAATGACATTTCTTCCGTGTGTGACAAAGAAATACTAAAAAAGCAATTTTATCAATTCATTATCTGAAATATAGGTCCGTTTTCAATAAGGAACCTAAAAATAGGATATATCAATATAGAACTCGGATGATTAAAAAATATGAATCTAAGACCTAAAATATCATAGATTTTGACTTATTTAATTTATTTATTAATTCTATAACTAATATTTGATGATTTTTTCGTCACAAAAGTTTATTAGTTTAATACGATTAACTAATATTTAATTTTTTTCAATTAAAAATATATTAAAATTCACAATATTTTAAGTATTAGATTGATAGTCTTCAATTATTGAAACCCTATATATCCACACATTTTATCTTTCAGGTCCTTTAATTTATTGATAATGAACTTATCTTTTGGGTCCTGAATTAATAAAATTAAAAAAATATAATTGGTAATTATGATGATGGATTATGTTGACTTATAAAAGCATATATCTTAAAAAACTTTCATTAGATATAACAACACATATAAAGTTAAATGTGATTAATGTTTATTAGAGGGGTAACTAGTGTGAATAACCAAAACTCGAGGGACAAATAATTGATTTTTGAAAAATTCAAGGTTGATATAATAACACAGACATTTATTAGAGCATATAAAAATAATGAGATGAAGAAAGATGGCTTCGAGATAAAAGCGCGAACAAGCTTTGAGGAACGAGATCCGACCCTACAAAACCCTAGGCAGTGAGCTCCTGATGAATCTAATCTCAATACTCTCTTCTCCCATTGAGAAGATTCTTCGATGATGGTGACATTCTTCGGGCAGTAACCAATCAAATATTTTCTATGTTACTGCTCTTTTTTATTTCTACCTTATAAAGCTCAGGTTTTTGTCCAGGTTCTTCTTTGGACTAGAGTCATGTCCACTTCAGGTGAGCGAGAGCTTTGTTATTCTCTAGATGTTGTGTGTTCCTTATCAGTATAACCGGTCCGGTGGTGAATTTTCATTATTCATGATTGACAAGGCGGGTTCAACCTAGTTCTTCTGAAGTTTCAACTACGCTCCCTCCTCCCGAACCATCATTTCACTTTGAGAGAAAGTTAGCGCTCAAATAAATCCTCTTTTAGTAGTTGGTTAAACCGACGGTTCAGCCAATTATCAACTCAGTTGATTTTCCTTTGTTGGTTGCTGTTCAAAATAATTCTTGTTTTCTGGTAATTGATGAAGTCGAATATTTTATTTGTAATTTTTTATTTTCTTTTGAGTAGCAAGACGAACATCAAGGGTGTTAGGCTAGACTACGTTATTGTGGGGGTTAGCTGTCAGGAAGGATCCGTTGGACTTATGTTCTATATCTTATTTCATGGTAGGCTATGCATTCAAAAAAATAATATCTTTGGTGGCATTCAATGAATAAAATAGTTATTTGATTTTTGGCTTGGAGATTTATGCTTGGGGTGGATTTACTTAAATGTTTATGATTTATTTGAGAAATTTATATGTAAATTTCAAAGTTATTTTTGACAATTATGGAAATGGTTTTAGAATTTGGGTTTGTTTATCAATAGTGAGAAAGAAACAAAAAAAAAAATTGTGAGAAAGAAAGCAATTATTCGACGTTCCACAGACGATTTTAAATTTTTAGAATTATTGGAGAATAACTCATAAGAAATACATGTTTTTTATATATATTTATTATTTTATTTTATTTTATTTACAAAAAAACATTTTTTACAGTTTTTATATAAAGTACTTTATATTGGTTCTCTGTCATTTTACTTCTCTTCTCATCGCCAAAGATTTATGTGAACTTTTTCTTTCTTCTACTTGTCACATGTGCTCATGGATTAGGTTTCAAAATCAAATCAGAATTGGTTAATTTAGGGGAAAATAATAAAAATACCCCAAACTTTGAAGGGGTGTGAGGTAACACCTCATATTTGCATATGTGATTTAAATACCTCAAACTTTATATAAAAAGTAATTATCACACCATTGTCATGTATTATTTCTTTCAAAAATGTAAATTAGGGGGTTAATTGCATAATTTAAAATAGCAATATAGAAGTGTTGCAATTATATAGATTGGGGTAACATAATTTATATCACAATGGAAGATTAGAATATTAACTGTGTCTTCATGAATTCTAAAATATTTTAAATTAAATTATGCAATTAAAATTTACATTTTTGAAAGAAAAAACATTTGATTATGGTGCTAAAATAACCTTTTATATAAAGTTTGAAGTATTTAAATTACACATACAAGTTTGGGGTGTTCATCTCGCACCCCTTCAAACTTTGTGGTATTTTAATTATTTTTTCCGTTAATTTATTACCCCGATATCATGAACCAGCCAACTGATCTTAGACTAGTACTAGGTCATGATCAAGAGGTGGGTACCCGGATGGTTTCGATATGCAAGGTTTGCAAATTACAATTTGAGGTTTTATCATTTTATGATAAACAAAACTCGATAAGATGATTCTACTCAATACTAATACACAAGATAAACTTAAATAAAAATTAAAAAAAGATTTATATATAACATCTAACGAAGAAGAATATAGGGATGAGTTCGGTTCATTTCTTCAAAAGAAAAATAGAAACCATTGGAAGAACTGTTAGTCCAATATACATTTGGTTTTAATTTTTTTTTTTTGGAAAAAATGATTTAAAAATCGATAGTATCACATTGGCGCAGTTCTCATATATTACTACGTACCAATTAACAGTTAAGAAATAAAAATATATTTAACCATTACGGTGTTTCATCATTAAATGGCTAACACATTAAAATGTAATACCATATCAAACTAATAAATATTTAGTCATAAATAAGTAAACAAATTTTAACAAGTTAAAAATCAAAAGAAAACCATTTTTAGGACGAATATCTATATTGCACGTATGCTCGTACTACAAGTATTAATGA